GCATGAAGTGTGAGAAGAATGAGCAGAAAAATACTACCTTTAACCTTGGAGACGGAGGAGGAGAGGATTGGGAGGCGCTACGACGGCTTGACAGCGAGGGGAACGGTGGTGATGCACACTTTGCTTCCTGGTTTGTATCTTTCACCTTCTTTAGGGTTTTATGATGACGTTACTGAAAACCTAGTTTGACTTCCTTTCTTCTTCTTGCTTGCTTGCCCTTTTGCTTCTGTTGCTATATGCTTGACCCCTGAATGCCTTTTTTATCTTCTTCTTCTTGTTGCCTGCCCTGTGATGAGGCTTCCTCTGAGGGCCTCTTTTCCTTGTATGCTTGACCCTATTGGCTTCTGTATGTTGTCTTGGACGATTTCTTTGCCCAGAGATTATTTGATGATGATATGCTTGGTTGCCTTGATTTCTTGCCTATGATGAAAGTTTTCTGAGGCTTTGGTTGGTTCGAAAATGTTTAGTGTTTGATATGCTGAGATATTTCTGTATGTTGTGTTGGATTGATCATGGCTTTTGATAAGGACTTTGAGTATGAACTTGGTCAGTTTTGATGTTCTGAGTTCAAAAAAAGTCTTAGGCTTTTTTGATTTAGGCTATGGTTTCATTTTGAGGCTTGACAGTTCAGGTTTGGGCTTTGGTTTGACAGGTTGGGACTTGGTGGTTCTATTTGGGTTTTAGCAGGTTGAAAGCTTTTGTTTTGTATCAGAGTAGGGTTTTGGTGATGCTGTTTTTGTTTGGCTTCAGCAGATTGAAGGCTTGGTGTTGGTGCAGGTTTTTATGTCTTGAATCCTTTGGGTTGTGTTAGAAAAAAAATGGTTTTTAGGCTCATCATTCTTGACAGGTTTTTGTATATTTGCAATGTGAACTGATTTCTGTTTATGTTGTTTCTGCCCTTTCTATTATGTTGATCACAGTCTTGTTTTTATATATCTTCTTGCCTAAAGCCTGAGCCCTGTAAGCCTCCTTCTTCTTTTCTTTCTTCTCTCTCTCTCTCTAGTATAGATTACAGCATTATCATATTGCTTATGTACTAATTTCTGAAAAAGCAATGGCCTTTGGAATGTGATGTCATCGAAACTTTGCTTGCAATAGTTGTTTTATTCTGCATACTTTTATCTCTTTCTCCAGCTTTCCTGCATCTTGTTGACAGTATTTTGTACTTTGATATCTTGAGATATCTTTTGGGCAGCTTGGACAGTTTTTGACAGCTCTTGTACCTTTTTGGCAGCTTGTGGATAGTTTCAAATTGTAACTTTCAGTTTGCCTTTTGGGTTAGGCCTAGTTCAGTTGGCCTTTTAATTATGCAGTATATTGACAAATTTGAATTTGTGCAATTAAAACTTTTGTGCATTTCAATACTTTTTGCAAGCATTCTTCATCCCTCTTTGTGAACCGGGAGAAATCTCGTGATTTGCAAAGAGGGCAATCTGATTCCGGCCTATTGCTTTTAATGATGCATCCATTTCTTTATCTGTCTGTCCTTTAATTCTTTTATATGCTTTGACTTTTCTTTTCTCTTCTTCTTTTTTTTGTTTTGCAGATAAACAATCAAATGGAGCAAAAGAGGAGGCATTGGATAGAAGATGAAGACTTAGGATGAAATTTTATTTCAATTTTTAATCATTGTAATCATTATTAGAATACTTTGTAAATAAATACTGTATTCAAATAACAATTGTAACAAATAATTAAAGATGAAATAAAATCCAATTTTGATCAGTTAATTCTTCTTTCGATTCAATGTTTATTTAATTATTTGAATTTCTTAAACTAAAATAACTGGAAGTATCCAATTATTCTGACTTTAGAAAAATAATTAATAAACACAGTGGCCTTATCATTGAATCAATAATAAACCTGGCGCTTCCAATTAAATAATGCACAGTTAATCGAACCAATATCCAGATATTTATCTTTTTACTGATCAAATCAGACACTGTAGATTCTCAATTTAAGTACCTCAGCCTTTATCTCATCTCAAATCAAATGCCTTAGCCTTTACTGATTAAACAAAACACTGCAAGTTCTTGATTCAAATGCCTCAATCCAAATCTCAGAGTAAACTGAAAAGAACTGTAAAATTAATTCTTTCTGAGGAATACACGCACAAAAACCCTAGTTCTTGATTAAATGCCAAAGCAACGTCTGCCTGATCAAAACCTGAGCCAAAATCAACCGAACCTTAAGCAAACTGTGTGAACTGTTCCAGAGCCATGAAAACCCTAACTTTGTCTGACTGATAAGAAAATCTGTTTGACTGATTCTCACGCCAATCTGAAAAATCAGGAAACGCCCGAGGCTGTGATTTCTTGTGGAAAAAGCGAGGGCAAATTTTGGGGTACAACATAGTGCTTTAAGCGCTGGCCATTGACTATGAATGGTTCGATAGAATTTCCTTTAATTTCTATCGCACCACTTGGGAAAAATTTATTAATTTCAAATGGTCCTGACCATCTGGAACGTAATTTTCCCAGGAAAAGTTTCAGTCTAGAGTTGAATAGGAGTACGATGTCTCCTTCCTTAAATTCTTTCCGCGAGATACGCTTATCGTGCCATTTTTTGTTCTTTCCTTATAAATTCTAGCATTTTCATAAGCGTCTAAACGCAATTCTTCTAATTCATGGATATCTAATATTCGTTTCTCGCCAACAATCTTGTAATTTAAGTTAAGGGTTTTAATTGCCCAGTAAGCTTTATGTTCTAATTCTACTGGCAAATGACAAGATTTTTCATAAACTAATTTAAACGGCATTGTTCCGATAGGGGTTTTAAAATTTGTCCTATATGCCCAAAGAGCATCATTTAGCTCAGAGGACCAATCTTTTCTGGATGTGGCTACGGTTTTCTCAAGGATTTGTTTTATTTCCCTATTTGACACTTCCACTTGTCCACTCGTTTGAGGATGGTATGGTGTGGCTATGCGATGTTTAACGCCATATTTTGAAAGTAGTTTTTCGAAAATCCTAGAGATAAAATGGGAACCGCCGTCACTGATTACTAGTCTTGGTACACCGAATCGTGGGAAGATAACATGCTTGAATAGTTTAAGTACCACTCGTGTATCATTTGTGGGTGCAGCGATGGCTTCAATCCATTTTGATACATAGTCAACAGCTACCAATATATACTTATTTCCGAAAGATGAGGGGAACGGTCCCATGAAATCAATACCCCACACATCGAAAATTTCTACTTCGAGAATTGCTTTTTGCAGCATTTCGTCGCGTCTAGATATATTCCCTGTGCGTTGACATCTATCGCAGTTCATAATTGCTACGTGGACGTCTTTCCATAAAGTAGGCCAAAAGAAGCCAGCTTGAAGTATCTTTGCACAAGTTTTCGATGTACTAGCGTGTCCACCATAAGGGGCGGAATGGCAATGGGAAATGACGTCGTCTATTTCATCGTTAGGAACACAGCGACACTAGATACCATCTGTTGTACCCCAAAATTTGCCCTCCCATATTCTTCAAAGTTTTGACAAGCATCATCTCAATTTGCTCAAGTCTACTCAAGGGTTGCACAGTTCAAACACCCTCCTAAGCCAAGTCAAATTAGGGTTTTGGTTCCTGTCGTACCCCAATTTTTGACCTAAGATCCCACCTCCCATCTGTGTCATTGCATAACAAACGTTCACAAGCGTTTCGACCCATTTTTTTGCCATTTTTTTCTCGGGTCAGATTTCAAAATTCATAACTTCTTCGAATTTCGACATTTTTTTAGTGGTTCTTTTACACGTAATTCTCCTTGACAACAACTACAACTTTTCTTTACAAGTCAAGGGCAAATTATGCATTGAGAAGCCACGAAAAATTGTTAACGTTAGAAGTCGTTTCAGGAATTTGATTCTTAATTTTGGACTATGTTTTGTCCGACCATACATTTTACATCATCTTTCTTTTATTCTTATTTCCATAAAAAAAGAAAATCCTAAAAAAATATTTAGTTCATGCTATTTTCATTTTATTTATGTTTTTATTCAAAATATTCAAAATAAAAAAAATTAGTTTCCTTAAGTTTCATTTAGTTTTTGTTCTTGTATCATTTAAGCCAAAATTATAATCTTTTAGATTTAATTTAGTAAAAAAATCTCAAAAAAAATATGTGTTATCATTATTTTATTTTAGCATTTCACTTTAATTCAAAAATCATAAAATATATAGTTAATATCTTTTCCTTTTTATTCTTTTAGTTATTATAATTTTTGCTTCTTTCTTTCAATATTAGTCTTGATTTGATTCTAATTTTAATTCAATTTTTAAGTTGGGTTATTGTTAAAGTTAAAATTAATTATAATTTCTTTTTTATTGTTCTTTGCAAATTTTAGTTTAATCCTTTTCCTTTTATTATTATTATTATTATTATTATTATTATTATTATTATTATTATTATTATTATTATTATTATTATTATTATTATTATTATTATTATTATTATTGTGTTTCAATAGTTTTTTTGTTGTTTTGTCATAATAAGAAAACAGTTTGGGACCATTCTCTTCATGCTACAATATATCCATGTTATGCTACTGTCAACTAGTCATGCTGCTGCCCTGTACTAAAACCTACTACCAACCTGTCATAACAGTCCAAAAAAACGGTCTAAATCTATCAAAAACTTTCACTAAAATAGGTAATCAAAAACTGCATCAATAAAGTGAAAAAAAACGTAATATAATGTTTATTCAAAAACCAAACTTGTTCCTCCCAAAAAACCAGATTGTCCCATTATAAAGGAGAATACATTGCATCAGAAAGAGGACACAGGAAAATTACCCAAACATTTAGCAACAGACCGTAAAACCCCAAAAAAAAAGTTCCTTTTCACTTTCGTTACACCCTTTCTAGCTTCTCACTCTCAATTTCGTTCATCATCACTTTCATCTCAACTTTGTTCAATACTTCCTCTATTAAAATCGCTTCTTCTCTGTATCAATACCAACAACTGCTAACTTCCTTCAAAATACTCCACAATATTCTCTCTGTTTCACCACTTCATCCAACAATAACAACAACGAAATCTCTACAATTCTCAACCAAAAATCCCTCCAGCTTCTTCTCTTGTGATATACTCCATCTACTGTCGAACAACAACAACCTTCAGTGCAACAACTTTTTTTTAGTTTCAATTTCAACAAATCTCAGAAGGAAAAAGGGGATAAATTTTAGTTTACCTGTCGAAGTTTTTTTCAGAAAACGGGAACTCGTCGGACTAGCGTTGATCGGGTGAGTCTTTCTCCTTTATATGCCCTTCTATTTATTACCATGCCCTGTTGTTGTTTGAATGTTGCTGTAGTTACTATTTATCTTGATGTCGTTGTAATTGTGAAACTATGGAACTGCTGTGATATCAAACCAAGTGACCCTGAAAAATAAAAAATCATTGCTGCTGTTTTCAAAAGATAGAAAATAAAGAGTAAGGATTTTGAGTTGAAAATTGAGAATTCGTTTAGTTTGGAGGGGGAAACACCATAGGAAATAAGGGAAGGAACTCACACAAGAACCTCTGTCCCAAACTTTCTTTCTGCAAAACCCTGAAAAAAGCCACAAATATCCTCATTAATTTCAGAACTGTAACTGTTCTTGTTGAAACTGAATTCACATCTTAAATACATAAATCCTCATAAAACTTCAATACTTTTTTCACAAATCTATAAACCTATAAAAATAGAGGCCAATAAACAGAAAAATAAACATACTGATATTGGAGATCATAGACAAAAAGAGAGAGATCAGTAGGAAAAATAGAAAAGTACCTCGCAATTTTTTCAATCAATTAGATCTTCAATACACCCTGTATATTTCAAACGGCAAATCTCTGCACAATTCTGGAACCCCCTCTAAAATCATCATCCTTGAACTTTACTTTACTCTCCCTCTGTTCTGCTACGAACAACAAACCCCTCCACATGCTCTTCCAAACCAGCGCAATCACTGTGATATTCGACCTCCCTCCTCTATTATCATATCATCCTAATCCAACATTCATAGTTCATCTCTACAAACATCAACAAAATATTCAAAATCATAGGAAAAATGGAGTAGAAAAAGAAAGATGCTGAGATTAGAAAAAACCTTGTACCTGAAATTGAAAACCCTTAACCCTTTGCAAAACCCAAATTCACTGTCACCTTCATCTACCTGTCTGAACTACTCCCCTAAACTCCTCATAACCGTATTCAGCTTCTCCGCCGTAATCGACCCGTTCCCATTCATATCAAAAACCGCAAACGCGTCCTTCAGATTCTCCAAGATCTCGTCTGAATCAACACCTTTCGTATTCAACTCAATGAATTCCGGTAAGCTTATACAACCGTCGCCGTCTCCGTCAACCTCGCGGATCATGTTGTTCAGTTCTTCATCGCTTTCCGGCTGCCCTAAGCTTCCCATTATGGATACCAGCTCGGAGGCCGAGATCTTCCCGTCGCCATTGACGTCGAATTTCTTGAATACTTCTTCCAGTTCCCCGGCCAGACGCGCGCGTGTATGCACGAACAGTGAGGTTGAGCGTGATGCCGTTGAGGATGACGATGGGTTTCGGTTGAACAGTGATTTCATCGTAACGGAAATTAAAAATAATACCGATGTGAAAATTTATTCAATTTTTCTCTTTGATGAATGAATGAGAAATTGGAATGAGAAGAGAAAGGGGTTTGTTTGGGTCTCGTTGGTGTTTCGAGATGAAACAAGAGTGATTGGGGGTTGAGAGATGAGAATTTGAGAGGTTTTGTTATAGTTTTGATAAATCATAAGAACAGAGGATAATAAAATGAAGCGGTTAAGTGAGAAAGAGAGTGAGGCGAGCGGCCATCTTCAATATTGCTAGGTTTTTGTTTTTTTTAATGTTACCCTTTGGGCCTCAATCATCAACCTGAGCCCGATACACATAGATCCAGCAAAATCCACCTTTTTTGTTTGTTTTAATTTTAACAAGAAAAACAATAGATTAGTTTAAGCCTTCAATCTAAGCTTGGTCCGCCCAAATCGGTATCCCATCAGGCCATCCACCATTTCTCAAATAACGCACCCCTGTTCCTTTTTATTTATTTATTTTTTTTGTTAGACAATAAAAAACAGGTATGGGCCTTAGGCCCAGCGAATTTTAATACCCACACCCTAATTTTATATTTCTCACCTTTTTTTATAATTAATCTAGTTTAGATCTAATTTAGTAACTTTAGATTGTTAATTTATTTTAGATTTAATTAACTTTAGAATTTTAAGTTAGTAATTTTATAATTTTAATTTAGTTTTAGTTATTAACTTTAAAAATCTTGTTTAGTTTAGTTAGAAACTTTAGAATTTAAGTTTAGTTTACTTAGTAAACTTTAGAATTTTATTTTTGTTTTAGTTTTATTTTAGTAATTTTAGGATTTTATTTCATTTAGATTTGACTTAGTAAATTTTAGAATTTTTATTTGTTTTTAGTTTTGACTTAGTAAATTTTAGAATTTTATTTGTTTTAGTTTTGACCTAGTAAACTTTAGAATTTTATTTTGTTTTAGTTTTGACTTAGTAAACTTTAGAATTTTACTTTGTTTTAGTTTTATTTTAGTAACTTTAGGATTTTATTTCATTTAGATTTGACTTAGTAAATTTTGGAGATTTATTTGTTTTAGTTTTAATTAGTAAACTTTAGAATTTTATTTGTTTTTATTTAAGTTAACTTTTGAATTTTAGTTGTTAGTTTTAGTTTAGGGACTTTAGAACTTTATTTGATTTAGATTTAGTTTAGTAATTTTGGAACTTTTTGTTGTTTTAGATTAGCAACCTTGGAATTTTTATTTAGTAGATCTAATTTTCTAATATTAAAATTTTAATTTAGTTTAGATCTAGCGTAGCAATTTTAGAATTATTTTTATAACTTTAGATAACAAATTAGTTTAGAATTATTTTAGTAAGTAATCTTATAATTTTGACTTAGATAATTAGTTCCCTTTTCTTTTATTTAAATATCTTTGTCATTTTAATTTCTCGATGCTTTTGGTCATTAATCTGTTTCATTAGATTTGTTTTCTTGTGAATTTTTGAATGCTTATACTTTGTGAATTCATCTTATTTTACTTGCTCGATTTAATCCAAGGGAATTGTCTAATTTTTTTTGTCGACTTTATGTCATCAAAAAAAAACATCGTGCGAATACCCTCATTCATTAAAAACATAGGATAATTTTCCCAAATATCCAATTTCTTCAAAAAACTCACACCTTTTAAGTCAAAACTTCGACATTAGGTCTTCGTATCTTCAAAAACTCGTCCATACCCATTTTCGGCCAAAAACAATTTATTTTTAATCAAACAAACATTTTAATAAACAGATATTCCAAAAGGTTCCTATAGAATACTATAGATACATTGGGTGCTAATACCTTCCCATTGTATAACCAACCCCCGAACCATAGACCTCTTTTCAAAAAAACGCCTTGTATTTTCATTACTTTTAAAAGTATTATTTACATTGCATACTTTAGGGTTTTATTTCGCTATTTCCCCTTTTCCCTTGGAAATAATAAAGCGCGGTGGCGACTCTTGCTTTTGTGAGACGAATTAATTAATAGTTCGATCTCCGATTTACCCCGCTACATTTTTTATCGCTACAGTTCCTGCAAGGAAGTTGAGGTTTTCAAGGGTTCAATCAAGTCCCACATGCCTATAAACATTGTCAAGCATCTACATGCCAAGTTTCAAGGCTCACAAGGTCAAGTTGCACAGTCAAAAGCCCTAATTGCTCTACAATCAACTGTAGGGGTAAAATGGTCATTTGGCAGTCAAAAGTCAAAAAATTTGGTCAACATCTTATTTTGAAGCCACAATAATCATTTGATCAAGTCTTGATCATGATTCCACAAGCATGGCTCAAAAATCATTAAGATGCAAAAGTTTCCATTTTTGGACAGCTGAAAAGTCAAATGTAACTTGACCAGGGCATAACTTTTTCATGGTTCATCAGAAAAATCCCATCCAATGCTCATTTTGAAGGGGAGGACGTTTCCTACAACTCATCTTCACATTCCAAGTCCAAGAAATGCTCTCACAAAAAGTTATCAATTTCAACATTATAGGTTATTTTCAAAAGTCAACAAAAATGCACTTTAAGTCAAAGACCATAACTTGATATTGCTAAATCAAAATGACATGGGACTAAAGGCATTGGTTAAAGGACTTCAAGACCTTTCCAAAATGTCCAAGAACATGTCCATATGATCAAAATTGAGCAAGATATGCATTGGAGAAGTTGGAAATTTTTTGTGAAATGGCAAAAGTCAACTATCCTTGAAACTTCATTGTTTGACAAAAGGGCCCACTTTCTTCCACTTGGTTCAGACTTTTCATGCCACCCACGTGTCCCATGATTAATTTCAGAACCAAACATTTATTTTTTCATTTTTATTTAATTTTTGTGGATTTAATTCATTTTAATCCATAATAATTCAAATAAAATCAAAAAAATTAAAGGAATGGTATCTTGTGGTTTGAATAACTTTCATGTGTCATATTCCACCTACCAAATTTGTGCCAAGCTCATTTATGCATAAAAATTCAAAATTTGAACAAACTTGGAAGGTCCTTAAATGGTGGTTATGAAGAATCTCAAAACTTCAATACAAGGGATCATTGGCTCATAATGTGACCTAAATTCATTGAGACATACATAAGCAAGCCTTGCATACCTAAGACACGACCTGAACATTGCAGAAACGGCATAACCAAAATCCAAAAAATCAAGCAAAAGTTGAAAACTGAAATCAACCTTCCAGCATAATTCAGAGCCTTAGAGTGATCCAAACACCTTGTTGGACCTTCCAGGAACCTATTGCAATCACAAACAAGCTCCAGAACTCGAGGAATTGTCCTCTTCAGTCACACAGTTTGCCTAATTTTTCTAGAATCAAAACTCATAATTCTTGCATATTTAACATGATATAATTGTTTCTTTACATTGCTATGACCTTGCTGAAGCTGATGATATAGGTTAATTGCATTATGGTGCCCTGGAATCGAAACCACCATTGTTGAATTCTAGGGTTTTCAGAGCTCTCAGATTAGGGTTTTTCACATACTGTAAAATTAGACCTCAAGATGCACATGGTTGAAACCGCCTGAATGAGACGAAGACATTGGACACCTCGCGCCATATTTATATGCCCTGGATTCCTATTCGCTATTTTTGGCCATTCAATATTGTGGGGGTTAAAAACCCCCGCTAATTGTTTATCTTTTACAGGCATTCAGTGAAGAATATGAGACGTGGAAGAGCATGATTGGCTTGTTCAAAAATGCGCGCTACTTTTTCTTTTTGTTCAGCATATAACGCGTTTATTTTATATTATATTTGTTTCTTGTTATTCTAACAAACGCGCTCAAATGGTGTAGTGGTTGGCAACGTGCTTGGTAATCATTGGGACCTGGGTTCGATTCCCAGGTCCCCCAAAGGCTTGTTAATATTTTTTCCAATATGTTCCTATGCAGTCTTCCAAACAACCAACACCATATGCCCTCATGCATCAACGTGCCATGTGTCCAGTCCCACAGATCTGAAGGCCAAGGAATGAACAAACACCATGCTCCCTGGTCAACGCGCCTCTGGACGATTCAAAAGTCAAAAAGGCTTAAGACAATGGGCCTAAATACCTGATTCACCTCCCTAAGGGTCCAACACCCCCCCTGGGTTCTTATTTTCTTTTCCTTTTTCTCTTTTTATTTTCTTTTCTTTCATAATTTCCCTTTTTATTAATTATTAGTTTTATTAAGTATTTAATTAACCAATTAACATTTTTCACAATAAAAAACAAAAAAAAAGCATTTTATTATTTATTAACTTATTTTGTAAATAAATGTAAATTAAATTAAATTAGTTTAATTAGTTAACTTTAATACCTTTTTTACAATAAATAAAAACAAATTTAGACTTAGGCTTTTCTTTTGACATTTTTAATTCCTTTTTTTTATTTTATTTCATTAAAACATAAAAAACACAAAAAAACATTTTTTTTCTTTAATTTAATAATTAATTAGTTAATTAGGTTTAATGTTTAATTTAATTCTAAAAAAGGGTCAACACCCTAGGACGTTCCCGGTTAAATTTCTTTTCGCGCTTTAATTCCTTTTTATTATATTTATGTAACTGTTTCCGGATATGTAATAGTTAATTAGGACTTTATTACTTTCTTTTAATTTCTTGCATTTTTATTTTTCAAAACGGGTTTTATTTTTGGCGATGTATAGACCCGCGCCTTGTAATAGCTAGATTTACATTTCCGCAATTTATTTTCCGCACTCCTAACTGTTAAAAATGCCTGCAAGAATATATGACAAATAAAACCAATTCGTAGCTCACAAATAACATGTACAAGATAACCTTAACTGAAAAACAATACACAAAGCACATGCCACTTCTAGGGTACGCCTCACTGGTTGCCTCGAACGTGGTCATCAAGTATAGGGTGTCTTAGAGGTCGCCCTTTTGTCTAAATATCCAGTTGCCTCGAAACGGTTGCCTCGGATACAAAGGATCTAGGACATTGGAGTTACTTCTAAGGTGTCCTACTATTGCTTCGG